GTGTCTGTGTCTGTGTGTGTGAGCCCAGTAAAAAATGAGTCCCGCTTGCACCGGATGCCGAATCCGCCTCCAGCCACCCACCCAGCCATGTGTGACTCCTGCTCCAGATCACAAACCCTGAGTCTCGGGAGGGAGGCAGGAAAAGAGGGGGTTTCTGGGGGGCCTGGCAACGGGCCGCGCTCTGGCTGCACTTGAAACGGGCTGCACACTCTTTGGCCGCTGTGCATAATTTGCTTCCTCTCTGATGGCTCTCCCTCCCCTTCTGTCTGAAGTCTGCAGGCGATCGGCGAGCGTTTATTAGACCGCGGGGAGAGAGAGAGACTCATACTGAGAGAATGTCTTCTCCTCCTCCTGCTCCTCTCACTCCATTATTCAGTGTCCTCGAGTTTATCTGTATTACAGATCCTGTTTTAATACTCTACTGATTTTGATTGGTATGTACCCTGCCATTCAAAAGCGTTTTAAAGAAATGAATACTTTTATTCAGTAAGGATGCACTAAATTTATCAAAAGTGACAGTAGAGACATTTCTAATGTTTCAAAAGATTTCTATTTCAAATAAACGCTGTTGTTTTGAATTTTCTATTCATCTGTGAATCCTGAAAAATAAAATGTATCAGTTTCCACAAAAACATTGAGCAGCACAACTGTTTTCAACACTGATAATAATCAGAAATGTTTCTTGAGGAGCAAATCAGCATATTAGAATGATTTCTGAAGATCATGTGACACTGAAGACTGGAGTAATGATGCTGAAAATACAGCTGCGCATCACAGAAATAAATTACATTTTAACACATAATCACATAGAAAACAGCTATTTTAAATAGTAATAATATTTCACAATTTTACTGTATTTTTGATCACAAATACAGCCTTGGTGAGCATAAAAGGGACTTTTGAACAATAGCGTAAATACCATAGTGCATTAATATAACAATCATTTATTATATTATCATCTGATACCAACACTGCACTGTTTTTAAGGGATGTGAACATGTGAGTTTACTGGACGGAAAAACTGTAATGCATAAAACGTGTGTGTGTGTGTGTGTGTGTGTGTGTGTGTGTGTGTTCTCAGTTCTCAGCCATTAATAATATTTCTGTACTTTTGAGTGTATATCTTGGATTTGCTAGTGAAATGGAGTGGTCATAAAGTCATTTATTGAATATGAATGTTTGGTTTCAGATTCTAGGCAGATGCAGACGTCTCCGTCCTGGTCGTATGAGCAGTCGTACCCTTACCTGGGTCCCATCTCCACCCCAGCGGTTCACCCCGCCACACCCATCTCCCCCAGCCGCAGCGCTATACACTGTGAGTTCCACCATGCTGCAGGGACACTTATTTGGTACTTTTTGTGAGAAAATATAAATATAAATCGAATTAATACTTAAAAAAAATATATATATATTGTACTCCAATGATTATGTGTTTTATTAAATAAGTTGACATTAAATAAGTATTTAAATAATTAAATAAATATTGCTTCAGTTATCAAACTCTTAATAAAATTAAGTGTCTGATTAATAAATTAATAAATTATTAATATTAGAAAACACCATTAGTTGATCTCTAATCAGTATTCCATTCAGGTAGCTGATATAAACATGCTAAAGAACAGTATATGCCATAAATTAACATAATTAATAATTACATATAACTAAATCAAAGGTTCACCATTAGATTAAATTTCCATTCTAGACCAAAATTTGCAACCGTGTTATTTTAGTATTGTTTATATACTATAATAGTTTTGTATATATACTGTATATATATATATTTTTTTACTTATTTAGTTTAAATTCTAGTTCATTTTCAGCTCTGAACTCTTACTAAACGACGACTACTGACTCATTTGGGCCTGTCTTTAAAGGGTTAGTTCACCCAAAAATGAAAACTCTGTCATTAATTACTCACACTCATGTCGTTCCAAACCCGTAAGACCTTCATTCATCTTCGGAACGCAAATTAAGATATTTTTGTTGAAATCCGAGAGCTGTCTGACCCTGCATAGACAGCAATGCAACTGAAATGTTCCCAGGTCCAGAAACATAGCAAGGACATCGATGAAATAGTCCATGCGACATCAGGGGTTTAACCGTAATGTTATGAAGCTATGAGAATACTTTTTGTGAGCAAAGAAAACAAAAATAATGACTTTATTCAACAATTCCTCTCCTCCTCATCCCTTATGCTGTGGCGCACCGCCATTGGTTAGAGAGTCATAGATATATATACGTAGATGCCTCATTAGCGACTGTTTCTATGGGCCGCAATACGTAAGCCATGCGCCATTTTTGGAACGGTCTGCGAACCATCAAGCGCAAGTTGACTGTGTGCGTCTACCACAGCAAGTTATACGCATGCATATCTTTGACTTTGAATATTCATTTATTATTATGGTGAATGATGTCAAGTTGACGGTTCCAAAATGGCGGGCGCGTCAGCATATCTGGAGTGGTCGAATATGGCATCTATACATATCTATGGAGAGAGTATCACGACGCATGCGCTCGCTTCCGCTTCATGTAAACAACGCATCCGCATGGTGCTGATGCTTACGTCAACACGGACATGCATCGTTTATGTGAAGCGGAAGTGATACTCTCTCCACAACGGCGGCATGCCACAGCATAAGAGATGAGGAGGAGAAGAATTGTTGAATAAAGTCGTTATTTTTGTTTTCTTTGCTCACAAAAAGTATTCTCTTAGTTTCGTAACATACGGTTAAACCCCTGATGTCGCATGGACTATTTCATCGATGTCCTTGCTATGTTTCTGGACCTGGGAACATTGCCGTTGCATTGCAGTCTGTGAGGGCTCAGAGAGCTCTCGGATTTCATCAAAAATATCATAATTTGTGTTGTGAAGACAAACGAAGGTCTTACTGGTTTGGAACAACATGAGGGTGAGTAATTAATGACAGAATTTTCATCTTTGGGTGAACTAACCCTTTAATTGTCCAAAGGAGTTTTTTTAACTATATAACCAATCGAGTGTTTTGTGTTCCTGCAGGTCCAGATCTGACGGCGTTCACTGACCCTCGCATGGGTCTGGAGCGTTCCTTCCCATCACTGCCCTCGCTCCCAGACGGCCGTTTCTCGGACCCGCGTATGCCGTATCCCACCGGAGCATTCACATACACACCCACGCCCGTCACCAGCGCCATCGGCATCGGCATGTCGGCCATGAGCAGCCCGGCGGGCCGCTATCACACGTACTTACCACCGGCGTACCCCGCGGGCTCCTCGCAGGCTCAGGCCGGCCCCTTCCAGCCCGGCTCGTCCCCGTATCACCTGTACTACAGCAGCGCCGCTGGATCCTACCAGTTCTCCATGATGCCAGCCGGAGGAGGAGGAGGAGAGCGCTCGCCCCCGCGCATCTTACCGCCCTGCACCAACGCCTCCACAGGCTCCGCCCTCCTGCACCCCTCGCTGCCCAATCAGAGCGAGGTGCTGGTGGAGGCCGAGGGAAGCCACAGCAGTTCGCCAACCAGCCTGTCGGTGGAAGCCGTCTGGAGGCCATATTGACGCTCGCTTGACCAATAGGAGGAGGCAGGGCCGGATTTACACATAGGCATTCTAGGCACGGGCCTTTGCTCGCTTGTCCAGGGGGGCCCAAACACAATGAAGAGATATATAATACTTTTGTTATGCGATGGGCTATCTACAACAGTAAATGGGCGAATGTGACCCTGGACCACAAAACAAGTCATAAGGGTCAATTTTTCCAAATTGAGATTTATGCATCATCTAAAAGCTGAATAAATAATTTTTGGCATAAAAGAAAAATGGATAATTTTGACCCATACAATGTATTGTTGGCTATTGCTACAAATATACCTGTGCAACTTGAGACTGGTTTTGTGCTCCAGTGTCACATATAATATTTTTGTTGTACTATGGGCTATCTACAACAGTAAAAGAACCAAAACCCCAGAAGACATTGAGCAAATAAATATGTGACCACAAAACCAGTCATAAGGGTCAATTTTTTTTAATTAATAAGCTGAATGTATGCAATAAGCTGAATGAATAAGCTTTCCATTGATGTGTGGTTTGTTAGGATCGGACAATATTTGTCCGAGATACAACTATTTGAAAATCTGGAATCTGAGTTGTCCAAATGAAGTTCTTAGCAATGCATATTACTAATCAAAAAAAGTTTTTATATATTTATACAGTAGGAAACATGATCTTTACTTAATATCCTAATGATTTTTGGCATAAAAGAAAAATGGATTTATTTTGACCCATACAATGTATTGTTGGCTATTGCTACAATTATACCTGCGCAACTTGAGACTGCTTTTGTGCTCCAGGGTCACATATAACAAATAATAGGCTAAAAAATGACAAACTATTTCCATGTTTTCCAACTTTTTTATGTATGGAAATCACGCTGTCACAGTACAGATACGCACTCGCGCTCACACGCAGAGACGTGAACAGAAACTTGTGTGTACCGTGAATTTATGAATAAGCGAGGTTCTTGAAGCAGTTCAACTTACCGATTCGCTATTAGTAGACGCTGCTGCTGAACCCTGCTGAGAGACGCACAGACGCAGGTATTCACACACGGTTAATCTCTCTCTCTCTAATAATTAGCCTGCATATCAATGGCTCAAGCCTCTGTTATTAGCTCTAAAATTGCATTTTGGAATTTGCAATGGAAGGTTTGGGATGAGGTGCGTAAGAAAGTAGTTCAACACACACAAGATTTCAGGACGGAAACATGACAAATATCTTGAAACACATCTTCTGAACAATGTCTTGAGGTGTGGTTGTGACTCTAGGCCGTTAAAATTATTCAAGAAATAATGCACTCCCGAAGTGGTAATGTGGCCACGACGCCGGAGCCTAATCAAACAAATTAAGAACTACATTTGATCTTTATTGACTGAACGCAAGCACTTATTGCGATAGAAAACACTGTAACGGTTTCCACTGATTACAAAATATTTTTGTTCGCTGGGGTGATAATATGTGACCCTGGAGCACAAAAGCAGTGTTAAGTCGCTGGGGTATATTTGTAGCAATAGCCAAAAATACATTGTATGGGTCAAAATTATCAATTTTTCTTTTATGCCAAAAATCATTAGCATATTAAGTAAAGATTATGTTCCATGAAGATATTTTATAAATGTCCCACCGTAAATATATCAAAACTTAATTTTTGATTAGTAATATGCATTGCTAAGAACTTCATTTGGACAACTTTAAAGATCGGAAACATGACAAATGTCTTAAAATAAATCATCTGAACAATGTCTTGAGGTGTGGTTGTATAGGCCGTTAAAATTATTAGAGAAATAATGCACTCCCGAAGTGGTAATGTGGCCACGACGCCGGAGCCTAATCAAACAAATTAAGAACTACATTTGATCTTTATTGACTGAACGCAAGCACTTATTGCGATAGAAAACACTGTAACGGTTTCCACTGATTACAAAATATTTTTGTTCGCTGGGGTGATAATATGTGACCCTGGAGCACAAAAGCACTGGTTTTGTGGTCCAGGGTCACATATATTAATAGGGACGGGGGGCCCAAAAATTAGTTTTGCCTATGTCACGATAAGAGGTAAATCCGGCCCTGGGAGGAGGGCAGCTGAATGAGGGGGTTTCTGATTGGACTCGACGGACGGACTTTTGTTTTTCACAGCGCAGCATGAGACTCGTTTGTTTTTTTAAAGTTGTGGATAGTTTGTATTGTTATTATTAATATTATTGTTATTGTTATTATTATTACTGTTGTTTGTCTCGTCATCACTGTACAACTTTGTTCATCAGTGCCAGATATGTTTAATGTCAAAAAAAAACTCAAGGCCGGAAACAGACTCTACGCAAGTACTCGAACGCTTAGCCGACGTGACGCAAGAAAATGAACACAATTTTGGTGTTAATAAATGCATGTAAGAATAACAGTCCCACCAAACGAAAAGAAAATATATTTGCAACTATCTAGACTTTGCATAAATATGGTATAATAAAATAAAATATTAATAATGCATTTTAGTTTTTTCACTGTACTCTAATGATTACTTATTGTTATATTTCTTGCTTTTGTTATTCTGACAATAATTCAATATTTAAATAAATTTTGCTTCAATTATCAGACACTTCATAAAATAATTACTATCAAAAAGGCAACAGCTGCAAATTATCATTGCATAAATATAATGCTATATGCCATAAATTAAAATCATTAATAAAATATTCATAATGCATTTTATGTTTTGTTTTGTTTGTTGTAGTTTAATGATTGCTTATTTAATTTCTGTTTTTGACAGTGTTAATATTTAATAAATATTTCTTCAGTTATCAGGCACTTAAAAATCATTAATATCAGAAAACAATATCAGTTGATATAAACATGCAAAACAGCTTTACATAAATACAATGCTATATGCTGTAAATAAAATGCATTATTAATATTTTATTATTTTATTTTTATTGTAGTCTGGTTGTTTTATTACTGCTTTTTGACAATAATAATATAATATTGAAATAATAAATATTGATTTAGTTGTCAGACAGTTCCAATTCCATTCAGGTAACTGATATAAACATGCAAAATACCTTTGTAAAAATTATTTTAAAAATAATCACAATGCATTTTGTAGTCTAACGATTACTTATTGTTCTTTTTGTTGCTTTTTGATAATTATAAATAAATATTCAAACATTATTAAATAAGATAAAAATAAGTCAAATATTGGCTGAGTTATTAGACATGTAACTCACAAAACAATGAGTTGATCTCTATTTAGTATTCCATTCAGAACATGATATAAACATGTTGGCTAACTTAAGTTGCTCAGTTCTTTTCTGTAGTTGACCATAGAAGATGATTTACTCGAATGTCCGTCTACAATCTCGTGCATTGCATTCCGACAAATTTCTGAATGTAACGATGCATGAAATTGATCTTGTTTGTGTTGAACCTGTGTAGAGTCTGTTTCAGGTCTAGTACTTTTAAACTGATCCGCAATGAAGAATCCAAATGCGATCCGTTCACGATTGAATGGCGTGAATGGGTCGACAGATGCTCAGTAAGTTTGACTGTGGTTCCTGCAGTGGAAGTGAAGAAAGCGAAGCCTCTGCCGGCGGCGACTCGCTCTGAAGAGCTTCAGCAGACTCTTTACATTTCCAGGTTTACGAGACTTCGCCCGGTCACTGCCTTTCACGCTCGTTCTCTCCGCTAGATTTACAGTGAATTCAAGCTTTCCGACTGATGCGCTCATGTCACGGATCGCTGGATGGGAGATGGGAGAATCATGGACCTGATAAAGACTCACACACTCGACACGGTTCTCAACCTCCACTATTGTGAAACGAGCAAAACCTTTTGAAATGCAGCTTCATTTTTTCCTTTTGTCCCTTTTCAACATTTCTTTGGAGAATATAACACTTTGTTGTGAAGAAACTGCTTATTTCTATATCATGTGTGCTGTGTTTCTTTCTTATTAGTGGTGTGTTCAGCGTTTGCAATAATCTACCCTGATGGTATCATACTGTAGTTCATTATTACATTCACATAACAAAGTACATACACTGTATGTAATCCAGTTATCATAGTACCTGGTCCAAAAAATGTAATACCATAGTACTTTTTTCATCTTAAAGAGACCATTGCAATTGCTGACAATGTTTTGCACAGGCAAGCAACACTCCAGTTTCCTTCCGAAAGTGATTTGCTACTGAAGCACTCAAAACTATCGTTTTAAGGCCAACGTGAAATCAAAACTGGCTCAAATTGTATACACCTTCCCTTACCAAAAAGTAGTATACTTCAAGTTTATTTTATTAAGTAAATTCAAGTATATTTTTAAGTATACTTTATGTAGCAAGTATACAAATATCAGTGTACTAGTAGTATACTTGTAAGTGTACTATTTCAATACTCCTTGGGACTAAATTGGCCCACTTTCTAGTATATAAAAGTATACTTTAAGTATAACAGTAGTAAACTTTGAGTACACAACTAGTTTACAACAATATTTTTAGCTTGTACTGCAACTATACTAAAAGTGAACTTATATGAATACTGATAGTTTTCTAATTAAATACTTGTAGTAGCATTTTTAGTACACTAGTCTTAGTAAACTGCTAGTTTAGTAGTTTTATACTGCAAGTATACTCGTACGTTTTCTTTAAGTGAACTTTACATCATACTTTAAGTATACTACTATGTCCCTATTTAGGTATTAATTTGTATATATTTTGTTACATGAATATCTGAACATAAAAAACATCAAAAGAACAGGGTATCTGCTTGTAAACAAAAACATTTTATTCTA